GGGGTGAGAGTGACAGGCCGAAGGGAAGAACTCGATATTGGTATGCTTCGCCCCCGAAAGCAAACCTCAGGAACTTCCAGTGTTGAGGAAGGATGGAAACATGGAAATAAGCGTCTTTGAGATCTATCGTAACAAACCAGATAGGATTTGAGATACTATCTGCTTGATAGTAAGCATCTTGAACCGAAGCCGTTTGATAGCACGGTTCAGAAGACGGAGATCTAAGATCGGAGGCAACCCCCCCATCCTTCTTCGGAATGATGAAGTAACAGCTGTAGAACCCGTACGCTCTCTCGTGAGGCAGAACACGTTCTATGGCCCCCTTCCTCAAGAGAGTATCTACTTCTTGTTCCATTACCAGAGCCTGCTCGGGGCCCACTAGTGTGGGGATGACCCCGTTGAAACGAGGCGGACGAGAACCGAACTGGATTCTGTAACCTTTCTCTACAATCTGCAGGACCCATTTTGAGATATTTGGTAGAAGTTTCCACGCTACCAGAAAATCTACTAAGGGAACCAGCCTCTCGAGGCTGGCCTCTGGTGTTATTAGAGGAGCCAGTTCGGTGCCCTGAAGCGGATGATAGGCAGGGAACAACCGACCTGACTGCTGTAGCACCCTCACTTGAGTGGACGAGCTCTCCCGTGCCGTACCGTCACCGGGCGGCAGCTGGGCATTTCGCTCGTCGGAGCTCACTGAGCCCTGAAGCACCGAGGGTGGCAGGGGTATCAGTGAATCTCCGTGAGGACACTGAGGAGGATCAGGCACTGTATACTGAGGTGTTATCCTTTCCTCCCCAGGTGGGGCTGCCCTCAGGGGCCTGACGATGGTGGCGTCAGGACCGCTTAGTCGAGGTCCTCTTCGACAAAATAACGGTCCGCAGATCCGTCTTCGGTCTAGAAGACCCCGACTGAGAGCGTCGCCCCGACCCCCGATCTTTCTGTGGAGGGGGAGGATCGGGCACCGTATACTGAGGTGTTATCCTTTCCTGGATATCCTTTCACCTGAGGTGGTGTCCTGCTCCAGCTCAGCAGCCCCATGGGCCTGGGAGTGACGAGGGAGGAAACGTTGAAACGCCTCCGCTTGCTTCCTTGCCTCCTGAAACCTCTTGACGACAGTGTTGACTGCGTCGCCGAAAAGGCCAGAGGGGGCGAGAGCGGGGCGTCTAGGAGGAAGAATCTGTCTTATCTTGCATATCGGACAGATTCAACCACAGATGCCGCTCCGTGGCCACCATTGCTGCCATTGAACGGCCGATAGCTCTGGCCGTTTCTTTGGTGGCTCGGAGGGACAAATCTGTGGCCCGACGCAGTTCAGCTACCACGTCGGATTCCCCCTCCTCCCTGTCATCCAGGTCCTTGAGCAGGTCAGCCTGGTATGCTTGTAACACCGCCTAGACCCAATCCCCTCACAGGACGATGGCTCTGGCTGTTTCTTTGGTGGCTCGGAGGGACAAATCTGTGGCCCGACGCAGTTCGGCTACCACATCGGACTCCTCCTCCTCCCTGTCATCCAGGTCCCTGAGCAGGTCAGCCTGGTATGCTTTCCCAGCCAGACTAGATGTCAGCCTAACGGGCCTGGTTGGAAGCTTCGGGGCCTTCAGGGACGATGCTGAAGATGGGGAGAGTTAGCTCGCAAGTGTCTGCTCCACCATTGGCATCGCCCCATATCCCTTCTCATTCAGCCCCACGATGTTGGAATAATTTGAGACTGTGGGGCTGTAAATACGGGATGAGTACGGTTTCTCCCACGATCTTGACACCTCAGCATGGAGATCGGGGAAAAACGGAAGGCCCCCGTCGTGAAGGCTG